CCCCACCCCACGCCCTCCACACCCCACTACGCTCCATACCCCATACCCCACGCTCCATACCCCACCCCTCACTACGCTCCTGCCCCTGCCCACGCCCTCCTCACCCCTCTCCCTCTCCAGCCCCAGGTCTACGCTGCGCCCCGGCCCGTGGACCGCCTGGCGGTGCCCAGCTTCGCCCGGAGGGAGCGACTCCACCGCTTCCAGCCCACCTACCCGTACGTGCAGCACGAGATCGACCTGCCACCCACCATCTCCCTGTCGGACGGGGAGGAGCCCCCGCCCTACCAGGGCCCCTGCACCCTGCAGCTCAGGGACCCCGAGCAGCAGCTGGAGCTGAACCGCGAGTCGGTGCGCGCTCCCCCCAACAGAACCATCTTCGACAGCGACCTGCCGGCCGGGACGGTGCCAGGCGGGCCCTGCGCCCCCAGCAGCCACTCGGGCATCAGCGCTGCAAGCTACAGCGGCGGCGGGCGCATGGAGGGGCCGCCCCCCGCCTACAACGAGGTCATCGCCCACTACCCACGCCCCTTCCAGCACCAGCAGAGCCCCGGGCCACCCTCCCTGCTGGAGGGGCTCCACGCACCCCACCTCACCCCCCTGGAAAGCAAGGAGGACAAGCAGAAAGCTCAGCCCCTCTAGGAGCTGCGCGCGGCTGTAGGAAGAAACAAATGACAGAAACAAAACAAAACAAGGCAAACGCTCCGCACTGGAGAGAAGAGGGGCGCCCCGACTCCTCGTATAAATATTTACATGTTCTGTCTGGTCTAAATGCACAGCTCCGAAAGCTTGCAAAAAAGCAAAAAAAAAAAAAAAAAAAAACCCCACAAAAAAACATGCTTCAAGCCACATCGTGAAAGCAAAAAAGGAAAAAAAACCATTCTATAGTAGTCTCTTTTTTTTAGTTGAGCTGTGTGCACGAATGCTTAATTTTCTTTCGTTAATGATGGTTTCACTTAACTTTAAAGACATATTTGCACAAAACCTTTGTTTAAAGATCTGCAATATTATATATATATATAAATATAAATCTATATAAACTAAGAGAAACTGTATGGGGGACAGGAGTATTTTTGTATTAGAAGAGGCTTATTGAAAGGAGTTGTTTTCCGAACTCGAAGAGGAAAGAAAAAGGCAATTTTTGAGTGCCAACTCAAAGTGTGTATTACCTTGTAAAGAAAAAAAAATATACAAAGCAGGGGTCTAGAGTTATTTATATAAATGTCAAGATTTTGCACTATTTTTTAATATAACTATGTCAGTGCTTGTTGGATGGAAAGTTCTATTGTGTCTGTCGAGACGTCTGCCAGGCAGGGGTGTCCCCTGGTCTCCTGGTCCCTTTGCCCTGGTCCCCTCATCTCTCCCCCGCCCCCTCCCCCCTCCCCCTCCCCTCAGTCTGGAGAGGCCCTGGCAGAAGGGC